TGTCATCGACGAATCTCTTAAAGATGTAAGTCTAACATGGGTAAGCGCCGCAAATGATGCTCACTAAACATGGCTAGGCACTCGATGAACTTCTTTCAAGCAAAGTTTGTGATACGTTGGTTGAGCGCCTTGCTTCTCAGTATTTGGGGCAGATCGTTCAGATACTCATTAATCTGGAGCATTTTGAACTCGCTTGTCATGAACTCGAAAACCTCCTTGCAGCAGCGAGGTCGCATAATTCCACGGGTGGTCCCATCACTCTCAAAGCCACCGAAAAGTTCAGGAGCAATAAAAAGGCGGCGGAGAAGCGTATCTTTGAGGTGGTCAACTCCAAGCTTGACGACCTTATTGAAACCGCGGAATATGACTGGGTGGCCCCAGTTCCGCCTACAGAACCGAGCAACTACATGCAAACTCTAACTCGGTTCTTATCCAATATAATGAATTCGACATTGCTCGGGCTTCCCACTGAGATTAAGGAGCTTATTTACTTTGATGCTCTTAGCCATGCAGCAAATATGATTCTTGTACGCACTTGAGAAAACCTGGATCATAGTCCTGGGCTCTGCTAACCTTTCGTCTTAGGCGCTCCCCCTTGCCGCAGATGTAAAGAAGATCAACCCGAATGGTGTCATGGCCCTTGCAAAGGACGTTGAATATCTCTATCACTTTGTCGATAGTCTTGGTGTGCCTATCCTTCGGGAAAACCTCGATGAACTTCAGCAAACTGTCCAGTTGATGCAGGCGGATAATACTGATGAGTTCTATGATATTTCTACTCGGAATAAGAAGTATGGCCGCGTGGACGCCATCAACGGCCCAGTCCTACTGGAAAAGTATGTTTTCACAGAACCCATAATAGCCGGACATACTAACCTATGGAAGGGTGATTCGCTCTATTCAAAGTCCCGTGAAGACTGACAAATTTACGACACTTTCTTCGAGATTCGGAAAGAAATCCTAGACAGGGCCGTGACACTGTTTGTGTAAACTTCTTATTAAAGCACGCGCAGGATGTAGGATAGAAGGAAATGTAAACACATAACACATTTCTCAACGAGTATTGAAGATGAAATCATTTATGGTGCATTTGGACTCTGACTACACCAAATAATTACGTTACCATGTCCTTTCCACCAGTTAGACTGATAGACATCACCAGCCAGCCTATCACTAAAAGAAGAACTCCATTATGAAGATCAAAGCCCAAGTCTCGCAAATAAGGAACTACAAAAAGCCAACTGGGTAATGTACGATCGTAATGCGCACCCGATCACTTTAAGCCAGAATTTATGATTAGCCGGACATAATTCGACAAGCAAAGATAACTCTGCGGTGAATTATCCCACAGAAATGTGAAAATGAGATGGTCTTGGACATACCTGCTGCGGTGGTAAGTGCGGGTAAGCGGCATACATTCCTTCAAACATTTGAGATTGCGGCTGACCATATGCTGCAGTCGGATCTGATTGCACAGGTCCCGCGTACATAGCTGGTTGACGATATTCTTGGTCTTGTAGACCATGCTGACCCAAGCTGTAGTCAGGTGGTGCCATGTGATGTGAGGGGTGCTGCACTCCGTGTTGAGATGGCGGAAGTTGTCCTGCAGCGCCTGCAGGCCCAGGTGGCCCAGATGGTGCACCTGCTGCCTGACTCGATCGCTTTGCGTGCGACGTGGCCTCCTCACGGGGAACTATGTCAATGAGAAAATCGAACATGTCAGATTTTGAGAGAGCTGCAGCAATATCTGATCTCTGCAGAGTGCGCCGCTTGTTGTCCTCGGCATGTATCCAAGCTCGCATAGTCAGCTCGGTAATGAAAATATCACAACCTTTAGCAAAGAGAATTGGTGCCTCGGCTGAAATCATTTTCACCTCTGGATCAGCTTTCATGACCTTCTTGATACGCGCTAATGGCAATTGATGGATTTTATAATCATGGTTGTCTGATTCGAGATGGTTGATGATATGTTGCCAATACGTTGTCAGAATATCACGAGCCGTGCCTTGCAAGCCTTGGTTGACCTGGTCCACATCAGTACTCTTTTCGGAACCATCTACCTGAATGAAATAATACCCACATTCGCCCAAGTACCCGTATAAAGCTCAGCTACGGGCGCATATCCCTGTGCGGAAAGCTAATACACGACGAGTCAGGCAACTACAGACTTGATGAGTGCATCTATGATCCTCGTAGGCAGAACATACCGCTGCGCTGGCACCTGAATATCCATGTTAGCCTGGTGTTTGCTAGGGCGCCTTTTGAAACAGAGTAAAGGGAAATGTCCTCAAGGAGAGAAGAAGAGGGAAATATAGACCCGTAGGTTTTGAGGGATGATTACCATAGTGTCCACCGTTCCTAGTATCATAGACAGGTTGCTGTCTGCCCTGCTGCTGGCTAGCACCTTGGGCGGTTTGGTCCATGGTTACAGAATCTTGGGTAGAACGTTTGGTCGGCCACAAGCATGCACTAATGATATATTCCGGACTATGTGGTATCGGATATGGTGGTAGGTCTGCTTTCGTGAGATTGTAGAGCCAACGGCTATAACGATGAACAGATGGAATTCGAAATCTGCTGCAGAGTTTTAGCCAACTAGAATATTTATTCCGTAGTTTCGGAGAGGCTATATAGGAGAGGAGCAATCGAATGAATCAGAAGAGGCGGCTGCTGGGTGGTCCTGTTGCTACGGATTGGGGCAACAAGATGGGTTGCGCGCGGTACTGTCCAACGAGTCGCCTGAGCAGCGGAAAGTAGCGCGTAGGCAAGCGCCCGCCAAGCGTGACGTCTTGCGAAGTAGTACCGAATCCGTCACCAACGATAACTTGAAAAACAGCAACTAGGAAGGGAAAACACAATAGATAAATCAGTTGCTGCCCTACATTTTTTCTCTGCATAGAGAACTGTTAATCGGTAGTGGTACAGTTTAACTCTTATTCTAGCGGCCTGCCCAAAGTATTGAGGATTAACAATTTGATCTTGCATATTGAACCAATATTTGTAGTGTATTATGGCTCTACCACTGCAGTCACAGACCACTATACTTACCATACAGTATGGTCTATCGTGTGAAGATATGGCGCAAATTATATATACATATGTATGGAGCACCCCGTATATTAAGAACATACATATCATCTCCTATTCCTGAATGCCAAGAGTCGTTTAACGTGGGTATCTATAACTTAGGTTAAACGACTGTAAATATATATGTAAATAATGTTGGCTCCAATACTCCATTCTTGCCTCTACACACGATATATAAGAGTGAACAAAGACTGGATTCTATCCCTGCAAGAGGCCAGAAGGATAGAAGATATCCCTTAGATCTAGCTCCAAGTGACATAAAAGAGCGCCTAGCATGGAAGAGACATGGAAGGCTGATGACAACTTGATTTGCTCTGCTCTTATGCTCTATGGATTAGAAAAACTGGAGGTCATTTGCCCCTCCCCCGTACTCAAGACCACCAGCAAGTTCCAGCTACCATAAGTCAATCATGGATAGGTAATTGAGGCGCTTACCTAGTTAGTGCTAGGTTGGTTTTCTACCGGAGTAGCCCCACAAAAGAAAATTTGCAAACAATTGGAGACTAGTCAGCTACCGCCTATATAAGTACCCTTGGAAAATTCCAGTCTCTTATTTTCTTTTTCTATTTTATTTCTTCTCCTTTCAAAGCCCACGTAACTAGCAGCTCATTTGTTTTTCACACACTCCTTCCAGGACTGGAGGACATGACTCAAACAATATGTGGCGAAGTTGGAGCCAACAACTGTCATGATGAAGTTGATATCACAGACCGTGATATCGAGGAGCTGCTTTTTGAGGCGGAAGGCCGACTACGTGCTCAAGATGTGATTTCCACTAACCTCCCTGACACCAGAGAGGTATCTGGTGATCAGCCGCAGCACACTTCGTTAAGGTACGTAGAGCTTACTAGAGCAGTTCTTGAGCACCTCACAAACAACCATCATGTGGCTCAGAATCACAGCTGATATTTAAGAAAAGTATCCCTATGTTATCCTCGGATCGTTCTCTGCAGCCTTACCTCCTGCAGAAGGAGGATTTTGCGACGGTCGATACCACACGCGTCCTAAAAAACGCGCAGGATACATATAATGGCCCTGGCTACAAAGAGCCCAAACAACCGAAAGCGAAGAAGGTAAAACACCCCAATTTTCATTAATCCCTATTGCTGTTGCCATGAGGAAAATTATCCCTTCGCTTAAGCGCTTGATACAGCTTCAACAGTCCGTACTGGGCTGCGCTGTACCAATGAGAGCCAAATTTTCATAGTTACTCTGAGCATTCTTGTCAAACAACTGTCACTATAAATCATTCAGGCTAGGTTAGGAGTTAACAATATGTCTGTATAGGATAAACCTACGGCTGGAAGCAACTGGTTCGACCTTCCCCAGACAGAATTGACACCAGAATTCAAAAGGGATTTACAACTTCTCAGAATGCGGTCGGTACTAGATCCTAAAAGACACTACAAGAAAGAAAATGGCAAAGCACAGCCACCTAAGTATTCTCAAGTGGGGACCATTATTGAAGGTTCAACTGAGTTTTTCAGTGGTCGCATTTCTAAGAAAGATCGCAAGAGGACTTTCGTGGAAGAAGTACTAGACCAAGAGAGACACAACAGGCGGTTTGAGTCTAAATACAGAGAAATACAGACCAGCAAGCAGAGCGGCAAGAAATCCTTTTACAAACATCTGCAAGCCAAGAGGGGCTTAAAAGGCAAGTGACAAAACTGATGCCAGTCTTACATGGATAGCCCTCGAAACCATGATAGTGTAAGAATATCTCTTGAACTATTCTTGGCATGCTTCTAGGCTTGGCTAAATGAACGGTTCGCGATGAATTCGGCGATGCTGGGCAATTGCCCGCCATCTCACTCCGAGCCATTCAAAGTACAATTGCACATACTAATCGCTCTTGTATGCGCCCAATATGGTTCGCAGTACAACTCTCTGGTAGGCGTTAGTTTCAAGCATGATCAGGGTATCATCTGGGTGCGGACCTGCATATCAATGGCTGCTGAACGACCAGCCTCGAGAACTTCCTCATGGTTTGCTTTGCCCTCCTGCAAGATAGCACCCAGCTCTTCGACGCCCTTACCCTGTAAAAGAGGATCGTCTCCACGAGGAACGGGAGAGAGAACAGCACAGTTTGTTACCAGACTAAGTGCTAAGACTCTAATGCCACAGTGTCTGGCGACAACAATTTCTGGTACAGTTGACATGCCAACCACATCTGCGCCGAGTTTGTGAAGCATGCGGCATTCGGCCCTAGTCTCGTAACTGGGTTGCTTTAGAAAACAATGCCTTGCAATTGTACAACCTCACTACTTACCTGGGTCCTCCAACGAAAGCATACACCCCTTCATGCAGCCTTCGCTGGCTTTCTGCCTGCATCACCTCCCCCCAAGCTGTATGTACGTGACGTCGAAGCTCGAGGTCGTAAGCATCTGACAAAGGGGGAAAGCGAGGGCCGAACTCTTCGGCGTTCGGCCCTCGGAGTGGATGAGTGCCTGCCAAACCGGCCAGGAAGATATGCTAAATTCTTATGTTAAATGGAATTTGGAAGGTTGGGAACTAGCGAACAAACAACTCACATCGTTCAATAATACAATGTCGCCGACCGCATACTCTGAATTCAACCCCCCCGCAGCATTAGTCACTATTAAATATGGTTATTAGCCAAATTGCATATACCAAATGAATTCAAACTTACACACTAGAGTATCAACCCCCAAAAATTTGAAAACTCGAACAGGGAATGTCACTTGGTTGATGGAATGACCCTCGTAGTAGCTTTGGTGCGTTTGTAAGTTGGCTTGCTTTTCTCATGCCTTTGGCCGGGAAACTTACTGGGCACGCCCAACCATCAAAACAACAGGTACCTGCTCATCCAGAAGGCCGAAAATAAGTTTTCCTGCATGTCCGGGAACTATCAAGTGAATGAATATGTTGAACTCAATGTAGAGCATGCCTGTTGCTTACCTGTTAGATGTGGGAAATGTGGGATAGAAGAATAATCAAACTCTGCCCGTGGCTCATCACAGATAGTATTTGCCAGGCCCCCAAACCAGAGCCACACACAATTGCAACTTTAGGATTTTGTAAAGAGACCGGTAAATTTTCCCTAAGGAACGAAAACGCCTCGTGGACTCGTTCAGGTGAGCACGAGTCTCCTGATGGGCAAATCATCTTCGGTCAAACACACAGCAAGTCCAGAATCTTCATCTGTCAAATCTATCATGGAGCTAGGTACGGAATAGAAAAATTGGGTGGTGACCAGTGCCAAGAAGTGGTGGCGTACCAATCATGCAAGTAACTGGTGTGACATGATTTATCTTTCCTCTCCTCCCTTCACTACTAGTATTTCTCTCTCCCTTCCTCCCTATACCCTCTCTATATTAGTTTTTTTTAATTTTTTAGTAATTTTTAACCTCCCATTTTCGACCCTTCAAACGCAAATATTGCCTTAGGCATCAGTTTTAGGTACCAGTTCGTGGTACATACAAAGAAAGGCGGTAAGCAGACAAGCGAATCATGATAGTAGCCTGGAATCCCAAAAATCAGATGGAAGGCTAGCCACAATACACTATTGTAGCAGCATCTTTCCTAACACTTCATGCTAATCATAATCAGATTCTCTACTTTTACTTCTCGCTCGATGTACTGAAATGTCTTTGCTCTTCAACCCACGTCTGCTGACCAGGGCTGGCAAGCAATCGCTGGTATTACTTGTTTCATCTAGTACATCCTGAGTGACAATGCTAATAATTTCTACTTAGTTCGCTGTGCCCGCTCGCAGCATCACTTTGTCAAGTAGCCCAGGTGTTATCGATAATTCAAGCTCCAACGTACCTCAGAGCATAGCTGGAATTTCACCACTGCAAGTGGCTTCTGTATAGTATTTGACGCAAGCTCGGGCTGACTTTCGGCTGCCTCTAGCTCAACGAAACGGGACCAACATCCTGCATCATGTACCAAAAACTGGTCAGTCATCACAAGCTCTTTTTAATGATCAATCATTAGGATAGAAGTGTGCTTACCCTTCCAATAGGGCCGAGCGCCTGGACGGTATCAACTGTAAATCCCGGCTGCCTCGAAGCGTGCAAGCGGTGTATTTGCGGCCTCTCCGAAGGAAAGCCGAATACGGATTGCCTGTTTGTGATCTTCAACTTCGGTCGTATAGTGTTCGGAATGTGGAGTTCTTCGCTGATTTCGCCGTGCGTGCTGCCTACTACTTAAAACTTCCTGTCTCTGGTCCTGTGCCTCTACCACGCATCGTTGAACGTTGGACATTCCCTCGAAGCAATTTCGTGCACAAGAAAAGCCAGGAAAACTTCGAACGGATTACTCTTCGTCGACTGATTCAAATCAAGGATGGCAACCCTCAGGCTGTACAGACGTGGTTGGCATTCTTAAGAAAGCATGCTTTCTATGGAGTGGGCATGAAAGCTAACGTTTGGGAAAACGAGAGTCTTGGTATGCTAGAACCTTTTTGTCTTTTACTCCGTATCACCCTAGAGTTTAGTAACTAACCCATGTCTACAGATGTGTTCAAGAATATAGATAACGCGGCCCCTGAAGTTGAACGGTCCTTTGACCCTCATCTATCACACTTCGGTCAACGGAGTGGTGAAGGGGCGCAGAGTTCGATACACGATCTTCTGAGTGACATGCGACTTCCGAAGCACAGAAGTCCATTAAGCAGCGTCCGCAAGGGCTAAATTTAAGCCAATGGCTCCCTGTATACTTTGCCATTGAGTGCTTCTCACGTCAAATCTCTGTATTTCTATTTTTAGCCTTATATATTAGTTAGATAAGTTTAGCACGACAAGAGTTCTCAATCCATATTGTATCATTCAACACGACAGGGTTACCTAGATCACAGTTTGAGTAATATAAACATCGGATTCATATAAGGTGGTAATGGCAACGCCGTACTGAAGGACGCATCGAGTCACGTGTCCAGCACATACAACGGACGGCTGTTTTTAAGGGAATGTGGGACAATTGCGCACCAATGCATTCGATTCTCTGCCATTTCTCCAAGGTAGCCGCTAGACATGCATGTCAGCCGCTATGCATCATACGCCCCAACCACTCACAGGGCAACAAATGCCCTCTTGCAGTCAAGGGATATCAAGTTCAAGATGACAGGCCATCTACGAAGATGGGGCAGCTCAGTCACAGCGCAGCTATCACCAATATCATCTAGTCAGATTATATTTTCTGGGATTCAGCCAACTGGTGTGCCACACTTGGGGAATTATCTGGGTGCTTTGCGTGAATGGGTCAGGCTACAAGATAATGCTACCGAGGGGACGAGGTTATTCTACTCCGTCGTCGACTTGCATGCCTTAACTATACCACAAGACAGTTGTCAGTTGAAGAAGTGGCGGAGGGAGGCGTTTGCGACATTGCTCGCTGTAGGCTTGAACCCCGATCGCTCAACCATTTTTTACCAGTCGGCTGTACGTTCTAGTCAATTGAAACTCGATGCTCTTCACTTCTATCCAAGCGCACCCATTAACTATGGCCAGGTTCCTGCGCATACTGAACTATATTGGATCCTCAGTACGGTAGCTTCTATGGGATACCTATCACGGATGACTCAATGGAAGGTGAGCAATAGTGAACAATAAAAAATCAGGCGCAATTTGTCTTAGAAAGCAAACAGATGTAAATGCCAGACATGGATCTTGAGATTGACTACATATAGAGCAAGTTGCAACTACCAGAAAACACAAACCTGGAGCATTCAGCTGCCAGGTCTAAGCTGCGGCTTGGCTTATTCTCTTACCCTGTATTGCAGGCAGCGGACATCTTATTACACAGGTTCGGTAGCTAATTATAAGGGGTGAAGCTGTACTGACACAAGCTAGGGCTACTCATGTTCCTGTTGGGGAGGATCAAAGACAGCACATTGAATTTTCCAGGTATACTGCTAATAGTTTCAACCACCTCTACGGCCATATCTTCCCATCTCCAGAGGCACTCATCTGTAAGCCCCCTATTCACTATTCAAAAATGGACCTTAGAACTGCGCTGACTTATACAGCACCTGCGAAGCGAGTTATGTCCCTCAAAGAGCCCACCTTGAAAATGTCCAAGTCGCATGCCGACAGCCGATCGAGGATCCTCCTTACTGATTCATCTGATGATATTCACAGGAAAGTTAGAGCTGCTCTAACTGACTCGGACGCAAGCATAACCTATGATCCTGTCCGCCGGCCTGGCGTGTCTAATCTCATAGAAATTCTAAGCCACTTGGATGGAAGATCGTGCGACGACTTATCTTTAGAGTACAAATCGGCGAGCCTTCGAGCTCTGAAAGAAGACCTGGCAGGTCGAATCTCAGGTCACCTGCAAGGAATAAGAGAGCGGTACTATTCGCTCATGGAAGACAGCTCTGGTTATCTGGATACTGTCACAGAGCAAGGTGCCCAGGTTGCACGTGCCAATGCCGATGTGACTATGAGACAGGTTAGGAAAGCCATGGGGCTGTAGGGGCTATTCATCCTTTCTATTAAGGTATCCATGACCACTCTATCTTCATGGCCTTTGCTATCCCCAATGAGCAGTGAATGGTCCCGATTAAGGAGATAGGGCCAGCGTTTGCATATACGTGAACACCATGTATCTATACTGTATTATAGTTCTTTCAGACTCTCCCTAAACCTTACATGGTATAATAAATCGGCCATATAAAATGTAAGCGTCGGAGTTATCATTTGACGTACTTTTCTGCTACTTTTATGTCAAAATCAATTGTTGTTGCCTAAGATAGGCAACACAATAACATACGTGGCACAAATCGAATGATAATACATAAAGGGTCTCATCCGTAGACAGGGCACTACCTACCGCCTATCTATCTAGATTAAATACCGACAAAATAAAGCCTCTGTATGAATATCATAAATCATGATATGATATATGATATGCGGTAGGTACGTGACCTGTCTACGAGACCGTTCCAGTACTATGTAGAAAGAAACTTTGGTTAGTAGTACGGTGTTCGTCAGTACTTGCGGTGTGGTATAGAGTAATGTTGCTTGATTTTTGGTACGCAGTAGAGCCCACCTAAAGGTCCCGAGGCCTCCGATAACCACCACGGGTTGGAGCCAGCCGATTCTCCGGTAATACCGCCGCCAGATGTACTCAGTACCGGAAGCCCTACGTCAGCCGGCTTTCTCTTAGGCTTTCCACGCTATACCACGCAGAAGCTAGAATGTACCTAAAACAACCAATAGTATCTACGCAGTAGTATTTCCGGAGTAAGCCTTAGTCGGATTACTACGTACCGGTTAGAGTATTTTGTAGCCTAGCGCTTCTGCAGGAGGCAGTGAGGCACAGTAGTAGACAGAAACTTAGTATTATTAGTACTAGTACATGATGAATGATGATGATGATGATGACGACTACAAGCATCGCATTCGCATAGTCCCATTGGACTAACGATTGCAAGCCCCACTCCGACTTTTGCCGAGGCGGTCTGAGTGGAGTCTTGCGCGATGTATACTCCGGATAGTCAAGCAATCAACAGTACTAGACCGCATGCAGCGTACGACATCAGTTCCAAAGATTAGTGCTTTCCGTTACCATACAAGAACGCAGCAATGTCCCTATCAGCAGTTGTACATAAGAGCTTTCTTCTAGGCTGTCGAAACCTTCTCTTTTCTCAAAGTCTTTTTGCCCATTTTGATTCCCTTGTCCCAACGTGAGATTGATTAGTGTCTACAAAAGGTACGGTGGGCCGGAAGAGCTTTGCGCTCATTTGCCAGCTCGGTGGCCTTGGTGAGTCCTGATTTATGCAACAAGGCCTGGGGCCTTCTTTCATAGGATCTGAGTCAAAGAAAGAAAGAATAAGGGAAATCACACGATGCAAAAGTCATGGCTTGTGTTGCTCGCTGCTTGCCTTGGCTTGCAAGGGACATCAGCACTAACACTCCACCGAAGAGAGTTACCGGCTGTTGTGGCTTTGGATGTCAAGCGGAATAATGCCGTCGACCCTGTGGCTAGAGATCGGATGAGACGGAAGCGCGACAAGACCGTTGAGCAGAATCTTGACAATGAGGTATGTCAGCCAGGCCGTTAAATCCATGTGTGGTCACTAATTCACCCATAGGAAACGTTATATTTCTGTAACATAACTCTAGGCACTCCAAAGCAAAGCCTACGGTTAGTTCTCGATACAGGAAGCAGTGATCTTTGGTGCAATGCAGCGAATTCTACGCTTTGCTCATCTAGAGATAAACCGTGCAATGCCTCAGGGTCTTACGATCCAAGTTCATCTTCGTCATATACTTATGTATCTTCGGACTTCAACATATCGTACGCTGACGGCACTGGAGCTGCCGGTGATTATGTTACTGACACTATCCACATTGGAGGTGCTACGGTCAAGGACTTTCAGTTTGGGGTGGGTTACTCGTCTAGCTCCGCCGGTACGTTGATGCCGTCCTTCTTCACAGTATTTAACCGAACTTGTGTTGTTGACTAACTTTCCTCTTCCCAGAGGGTGTTTTGGGAATAGGATATACAACGAACGAAGTCCAGGTTGGCCGACTCGGTAAAAGTGCCTACGCAAATCTTCCTCAGGCCATGGTAAAAAACGGTCTAATCCAGTCAAATGCTTATAGCCTTTGGCTCAATGACCTGGGAGCAGATACTGGCTCGATTTTGTTTGGGGGCGTTAATACGGAGAAATATCATGGGGAACTACAAACTTTGCCGATTCAGACCGTCAATGGGGTCTATTCGGAGTTTATAATCGCACTAACTGGTGTCTCATTGAGCTCGGCATCAAGTCACCATAATTATTCATCTTCTGATGCTCTCCCAGCCGCAGTCCTGCTTGACTCGGGAAGCTCTCTGACCTATCTTCCAAATTCCATTGTGCAGAACATCTATGATGATCTGGGTGTCACATACGAGTCATCCAGCGGTGTTGGTTACGTGCCATGTAGCCTGGCACAACAAGATATTAATGTGACCTACACTTTTTCGTCACCTGCTATTACAGTTAGGATTGATGAGCTCGTTCTAAATGCGGGTGATTTGCGATTCCGAAATGGCGCACGTGCATGCATTTTTGGCATTGTACCAGCTGGAGATAGCACTGCTGTTCTGGGGGATACATTTCTACGCAGTGCTTATGTTGTATATGATCTATCCAACAATGAAATTTCCCTCGCCAATACCAATTTCAACTCTACCCAGGATAATATCTTGGAAATTGGAACCGGCGACGATTCTGTTCCTGGAGCCACCCAAGTTTCAAATCCCGTCACATCTGTGGTGGCCGATGGATCTGGGGCCAGGATCGGGGGTCCAACTGGTGAGATCTTTACTGATCTACCTTCAGCAACAAGTACCGGCGGCGCTGCGACGCCAACAAATGCTCCGAAGCACTTGGTCTTTGGCGCAGCGGCAATTGGATATATGCTCGCTTTTTGATGTAGATGAATATTCACCGGCAAATATCTTATGTCTATGCTTAACTTTCTGCTTGCTAAAGCCTAATGGCTACATGCTACATGGTGATACCCTAGATACTAGCTTGCTTACTACTTATTTTGCCCATTTTCTTTTTTCTTTTCATTTTCTTTCTAGATCCTCTCGTTTCTTATGATCTTTGCTGTCGACTTCTTTTCCCTGATAGGGCTGACGATTCGCCTGCATCTATTTCATGGCTATCTATATATATATTGAAACATTCCGTACATGCCTGGTCTACTCCGTATATATAGTTACTGCTCTGCGCTGTAGTCAAGGTTCCACGGGCTTTGTGCTTCATTTATTCCCCACTTTTCCACGTTTGACCCCCCCTAGCTGTCTTCTCACCCCAAGGACAAAACTTTGTTAACAAAGACCTATACGGACCTCACGAAAGGATCATGTGCCAATGCCGCGTATTTCTAACCTAGCCATCCTAAGGGCCTATCAGCGGAATCCACTCCTTCCATTATTGCTCCGAGAATGCCGATCGCATGACTCTGCAAAAAATGAACTTCGCTGGCTCCAGGAGAGGGCCAGTCGCACTATTACGTCCAAACAGGCTGCACGGTCTACGCTTGCCCCCTTGGGGTGGAGAAGGCTCCTTAGATCCATGTGCCATACTCGATCGAAAGGAATGCCCCTGCAGTATATTCTAGGCGATCAACCCTTCGGCGAACTCAACATCCTGTGTGAAAAGGGTGTGCTGATTCCAAGGTACACCCCACTTGCCTGTTTTGCTATAATGATATTTCCAGCAAAACCTTGATATATCTAATACGTCTATCTTCAAAGCAGGGCAGAGACAGAGACATTCACTATACAAACGGCCAAATTGATCTTGAACAATATTCAGAGGCACGGGCGTCATGAATTTGGCCAACAGCAATGTTCCTTCCGCATAGTTGACCTCTGTACAGGTAGTGGCTGCATAGCGCTGCTCCTGCATGCACTCCTTGCCCCTCATATCTGTCGGCTTTCGATTCTTGGGATTGATATTAGCCCTGCGGCCATTGGGTTAGCCAACAAGAACCTTGCGCGCAATGTTCAGCAAGGTCTGCTTTCAAATCGTGCTATAGCCGAGGTTTCTTTCCAGCGCGGCAATGTTCTCACCCATGACAGCACTGGGCTTCCTTCGGCAATGGAAGTGCTGCGCAATTACCAAGGACTTCCCTTTGATAAGGAGCCAAAATGTGATGTGCTCATTTCAAACCCGCCATATATATCCCCTGAATCATTTCGTGACGGTACTACCTCACGTAGTGTCCGGGTTTTTGAGCCAAAGCTTGCATTGGTTCCTCCGCTCGGAGACCCTACTAGCGGATTAGGACTCAGTAGACAGGAAGATCTTTTCTACTATCACATCATTTTGCTATCATTTCAGATTCGGACGAAGCTTGCAGTGCTCGAGTGCGGCGACCGCTCACAGGCTAGGCGGGTAGCTGCTATTGTCAAAACATTGTCCAGCGACTATCGGCTGAATGCCCTGTCCATCGAGATCTGGTCTAGTTCTGGGGCATGTATTAGTGACGAAATATCTTCGGAGAATGAACCCTGTGCAGTTGTTCTCCATAATTGGGCAGTATGTTCCTAGGACGTTCTTGTAGTATATGATCGAGTAATGTTACGACTGGGAAGTCGAAACTTAAGGGTATCAAGATATGATATATCAATAAACGTTTTGTGTTAAATATTTATTATGATATGTTATATTTATTTTTTTAATTTGTTTAATTATAGTATTATATATAAGGACAAGCTGTATTCCCTCGCTTTGCTCGGGCGGCTTGATGTTTGACTTAGTAATAACTAACATATCTGTAAAGAAAAAAGTTTCTATTATT